GCACAAAACCTATGGAAAATGGTTTTCGGTCAAATTGGCTGAAATTTCACTATGTTATAGTTTTCGCCATGCTGATAAAAAGTTATCATTGCACCAAGTCCCAAAAGTCAATATTTTCCAAGATATAAAGCGTGAAAGTAGTGAAATATGGTCGTCCGTAGTAGTAAGTTATAAGTATAAGTGATACTTATAACGTAAAAGTATAAGTGATACGTATGTTATAAGTATAAGTGATACATTGATATTTATTCACGAAATAAATAAAAATCGATTTTTACATATATATATGTAATAAATATTTAGTTCCGCAATATATATGTATATGTATATACAGGGTGGGGCAAAAGTATCGGACCGGTGAAATATCTCGAAAAATATAAGTTTTACAAAAAACTATTTCAGATTTTAAAAAGATCTATTGTATTTACTGATTTTAGCAGATTGATCTTGGGTGCCAAGGTAAAAAATCAGTTGTTTTCACGGCTACTCACAATCAGTTGTTTTCACAGCTACTCACAATCAGTTGTTTTCACAGCTACTCAAAATCAAAATTGATTGTGAGTAGCCGTGAAAATAACTGATTTTTAACCTTGGCAACGCCACCCAAGATCAATCTGCTAAAATCAGTAAATACAATAGATCTTTTTAAGATCTAAAACAGTTTTTTGTAAAACTTATATTTTTCGAGATATTTCACCGGTCCAATACTTTTGCCCCACCCTGTATATACATATACATATATATTGCGGAACTAAATATTTATTACATATATATATGTAAAAATATTTTTTTTTATTTCGATTTTTATTTATTTCGTGAATAAAAATCAATGTATCACTTATACTTATAACATACGTCTTACTACTGCGGATGACCATATTTCATTACTTTGACCCTTTATATCTTGGGAAATATTGACTTTTGGGATTTGGTGCAATGATAACTTTTTATCAGCATGGCGAAAACTATAACATAGTAAAATTTCAGCCAATTTGACCGAAAACCATTTTCCATTGGTTTTGTGCGGGGTCCTTTGGAGAATATATGTCGCGATTGGCGTAGGTGAAATTTCGAGAAATATTTATGTGGGATGGGACTACGACGCGCGGAAGTTACACATCTTCTCGATTGGGTTCGCTGATTTCTCCTGCCCCCCCCCCCCCCCCCCCCCCCCCCC